GGGGGGGGGTCTCACCAAATGGGCATGGTGTGACCACACCCAAACAAGCATACGGTACGGGGCTGGGTAGCCAGTAGTTATACATGTATTTAGATTTTGCTTAACATATTTAGAAAAATCTATGCATTCAAAATTAGGCGGCTTTGCCGCAGATAAAATAAATAAAGTCAGTTTGAGTTTAAACCGAAGAGTTAATTAGCCTTGGGTTAAGGTTGCAATTACACTTGGAGTAAGCGGGTTGCTATCCGCTAAACTCGTACTTGTTCTGAGTATAGAACGAGAGATCGCTGACCCAACTTACGCTTCCTCAAAGCGCAAAGTTACGGCAGCCCCGCTGCATCTTTTGTGACATCAAGGTTCGCCTCTCTTCTTGCTACATCTAATCGTCTGTCGCTACCTTAACTTTACCACCCGTAATGCCAGCCGTGCCTTAAGTGATAAGAGCCATACAAGGTAAATATCTAGTCTAGTCGGATTAGAGGTAATGGTAACTATATGCTATTCTCGGAATAGCTTACTTATAAATAATTTACAGTATAGGCTTTCGGTTCCGCTTTCCGATAGAGTTAAGACACCCAACTTCTGCTCGTTTGCTAACGCGAACTATTTGGGCTGATCCTTTTCAGTTGCAAAGTGCTCAGCAAAGACTCCATAAAGTAGAGGTTCATGGGACAGGGGACAACTAGTCTCGCGCTATACATTATGTGGTGTTTATAAAGATATATCCAACAGAATATATAATTAGCTCTGCTTTAAATCAGTCTTGAATTCAAATACATCACTCTTGGCATAAAGCAATGACAAAACTTTTACTGATAGGGGTCTGTGTTCGGCCTATCTATGTGGTGCGCGGCGAGTCCATTCTCTGTGCGTACTTTAAGATTCGAAAATTCCTTCATGCAAGATATACGATAACTCTGGTTCACCGAAATTTACTTTTCGTCAAACCGAGAATATGAGTTTGGCTAAGACGGAAATCCTCTGAAAAGCCGAAACATGATATTTTCTCGAATATGCCCCTCAGAAACAGGTCTCAATTAATCAGCTCCAGCCCGTGAGCTCTTTTTTAGAAACTGTACAAATAGCGACTCTAGGAGCAAAAGCTGTTGTTGTTTGCCTGAGTGTTTACGAGCGTCAAAAATTCGCAGATGAACACCTTCAAAAAATCTACCAGTCTATCGTCATTTGACGATCAATTGGTCCCCATATAGATTTTCAAAGCGAAACTACTTTTGCTTAACGTCAATGCCGCTGGAAACAGAAACATAAATTATTTGTTTTAAAGCAACGACGTGTCGTGCGTGCGGTCTCCAAGTTAAGAGGTCCGCGCAAAAGAGTACCATACCACTAGGAGCGAGGCATTATCATTACAAGAGCTATACAGGCAACAGATGTCGCGAGGGCTCGCGAAGCTTAATCAGGCCTACTGCATGCAATAACAGCTATTGTCCATCCGTTAGTAAATGCGAAAATTAACGGCTTATGTCCAGGACAGGACTTAAGTTCTGTTACAGCATGGATGGCAATGTATCCTGTTTCGAAAATGATAGTGCTTGCCATGTACGCAGGACGGCCTGGGGGTTGAGGTCAGTAGGACCCAGCCTTCGATATAGCAATTGTCTTTATGAGAAGCAGAAAAGACCAGAATCGCTTTCCGCAACAACTTATATGGTCTTATGGTACATGAAAACTCTGATAGATTCAGGAGTGTCGTGCAATGACGCACGACTGTCGAAAAGAGTAAATAGTCAGCGAAGGCACTATATATGCCGGCTACAGAAACGATACTGCTGCGTCTTACGACGAAGACGCTAATGAAAGTCGAGCAGCCTTCTGCAATCTAAGTATTCGTCACCGTGGTATGTTGTTCCGTCCTAGACCTTTCTTTATTTAAGATACAATTTCATTATTGATAGGCGTGACAAGAAAGTCATGAGCCATGAACCAGTAAGGAGTCGTAGACATTAGGTAACACGCACTTCTGATCAAGTATGGATTGCGCGAAGCAGAGATTCAAACTTCACCTCTTTGGAAGAGCAGAAGTTCTCGCCGCGGGCACAAAGCCGAAAACCGAGCTCTTTTACTACGGGACGGTTAAGCTGTAGATGTCGATAAAAATCACACTCGTATATTTACTATTTTGAGATTTGATTTCTTCAAAATGTGATTATTATATCACTTTTTCAATAAATTGTAGCATTTTTATGTAGACTACAGTAATGTGTATGACACCACAATAGCGGATACTACGACTCAAATTGCGCTACATTTTATTTAAAAATTACAAAATAGATCCTTGATATTGAAATTTTCACTTTGGATATCGCAATTTTGTTCGAATGGATAGTACCACTATAGCTCTAATCCTCAATGATCTCCCTAGTATTAAGATTCCACATGCACTCAGATCAGCTCGTAACATTCTTAAGATGTGCGTCTATTACCTAATTAAAGCAGTAACACCTGAGCTCTTCCGATGATGTTTTTAGTCCATAAAATTTTTCGTCATCATCGCTAAGCTTTATCTAAGGACTTACTATTGATATTCAACAGTATTATATAATACCGTTGGTTGCTATAGAATATACTACCAGATCGTTTGTACGAGAAAGATGAGCCTAATGAGCGGAACAAATGAAACTTGAAGGAGTCCATCACATTTGATACCCACTTTGACCAAAGCCACCAATTAACAAGAATCCTACCACGACACTACAGATACGGACAATACGAAATATTCCGAACATCAGAACTCAAGTACGTTATACCAACTACTCTATCGTGCGATCTACACCAGGTATCAAATATCTACACAAATTCATGCTATAGATGCACTGTAGCTTACACCTACCGAAGGAAACATGACTCGTGGTCGATAATCTTTGGACTGAATGCCATGCTTTTTCCTCGAGCAATTTCCGTAATCATGATAAAAAACGTACCCCCCAGCCCGTCTTTCCTATATTCGAAAAACCTAATGAAATGACTAGTTCTGGATACTGACGTTTGTCTATGATTACAGTCTGTTTCTAACGATGAGAAACAGGTGATGTAAAGACGTAATCCTTGGCCAAGGTTATGTTCTAGCTGTATCTTCCATGATGTAGGGTTTCGTATTGCTTTGAAAGTTATCTTTCGGTGGTTTACTCTTGCAAGGTTACTAGATACCAATTATCCGGAATCCGTTAACAACTGATGGAAGCGATATTTGCAAAAGATTTTAAGATACTGATCTCGTTCTGGATACATTACCACTGAATAACGTGAAGGTTTCCAGCTGATTGTTTGTAAAGCCAATTAAATTACGAAGTAGCGATTGAAATGGCTTACAACACTTGAGTCGACTGTTCCTTTTAAGTGAGTAACTTTACTTCGATTAGTAATTGACCTCCCCACAAATTTTGGTGGCTAGGATTTGCAAAATTCCAATGAAACCATATATCCTGTAAGAATTTGTTAACAAATTTCTTATAGTTGTATTTTCGAACCATTTATTTTAACTTTCATACCTAATAACTTGTGTGATTTCGTCAGCCATTGCAGCTCTTCTAGGATGTAGTATCCACTACTCTCCATCTCAGTTCAGTCTCCGATATTCAACATTGAACGCATTTCAAACTCAAAAATGCTAAGCCGTGTCTATAAAGAGGTAAAACTTCCTCTTCCTGACGATTTCTTTCCAGCTATGACCATCTCAGCACAACGTGTCAATGAGTATCACAATAATGCCAAGCAATTACTTCACGAGACACTTCATACAAGTGTACCAGTCTCAAGACTTGATCCAAGTCAACAACCAAATCAATGGAAGGTTATTGGCAATCGGAATGGACTCCAATTGTATCGAGAACGTGGATTTCATAAAGGAGAGGCAGTCAAAGTCCATGTTATGGGTCAAATGTCAGGTACACTTGACGACGTTTTATTAGGTTTATATGCTACAACAAATGGAGCACTCAAGACACAACGAGCGATTCTCCATCCCAATTATCTCGATAGCGCTGTCTTACAAGTTCTTACAAAAGATCATTTTTCAGAAGATGATTCCAACTTTTCATATCAATTTTCAGGTCTTAAATGGTTAGCATGTGCTTCGAGTGGAAAATTGGTACGAAAACGAGATTTGTGTTGGTATGAAGAACTTGGTTATACACAAGATGGAAATGGGAACAAAATTGGGTATCTGATCATGCAATCAGTTCAATTAAATGAATGTCCACCACTTGAGTTTCAAGGACTTACACGATCAAATGCTGCCGTTTGTTACATCTTTCGACCACATTCAGATCGTCGTGTAGCTGTTTATATGAAAGGGATACATGCTGTTAGTGGAAACTCAAGAAGTTGGAGTGCAGATGTGATTATGAGTGAGTTATGGTTAGGAGTAGCCAATGTGATGGAATGTACCAAGGCAAAACATTTGTCGACACTTGTGCATCGTACAGAAGTGTTCCAACCTTCATTCCCGTACGTACATTTTATTTGGGTTAAATGGTTTTTTTTCGATGATCTAAATGTATTATGTTAATAGGAGAAAAACCTGTGCTATTTGTGACACAAAGCTTACGATGCTCAAAAGAAAACAAATGTGTCAACTATGTCGTCAGAATGTATGCGAACAATGTTGTTTGACAAAATTCATTTATCCATTGCATGCTTCAAGCAACATTTTATCCAGTCACGTTTTTTGCAAACCTTGTTTAAGTACGACCAAGGAGAAATTGTACGCACGACGTTTGTACGATACAATGTCCGTCCAACTTGAATTGGACAGTAGTCCGGAATCATCACCTACGACTCGAATTCCATTGATTGAACGACCTGAAATTCCAATCATGTCATTATCTGCTGATTTTACGTTCTCACGACAACGAATTCGATTGCAAGAACCTCGAAAACGTCCAAATTATCCATCAACCACAACTTCGACAACCGTTTCATTGGATCTTTCAACAACTGACAGCAAGTTTCGCTTCAATTCATCAAATGACACAAAAACGAGAATTTCGTCATCTCCTGTTTCAAAAAGTCGTTCCGTTCAAACTTCTCGTGTTCAACGTACATCAAGTAACTTGTATCGTCGAAAATTTGCGTTACGAGGTTATCGAAATTATCAATTTCCAAGTTCTGATACTTTGATTCAGTTCACTAATCAATCCATTGATAGTACTCATGATATTCAAGAGATTGAATCATATGATTACATGAGTGATGAAAGTGAAGTGAGTGAAGAATTTACAATTGAAGATGCAAGTTTGGACTTTCGGACTCATGAACCGATTCATCTTTACGATGAAAGGGAAGTACTTGAGATTGAAAGTGACATCTCGTTTGAACTCCAACCTGAAGATTTATTTGGTAACGACAAGTTAAAGTATCTCACATCAAATGAAATGACATCATTTCAATCAACAGATCCTGAGAATCTTATGGCACGTCTTGTACAGATCAATCGAGCAGCAGAAGCTACGTATTTGATGGCTAAGTATAATTCGAGTATCAAGTATAAGTGAAAAGCAGAAAAGTAATTGAAAGCTTCACGTACATGACTTTGACGTTCCAATTGAATCAATTGTCGACGATATTCCATGATTGGGATCGCTGGGGTTCCACCTGTAGAAATTAAATTCCTTGTCATTTTTAATTAGGATTAAATATACAAATCATACCATATGTAGCATTTGATGCAAGATGTTTCATAACACCACTTTTCGCAGCAATCCGAACATTATCTCCAATTATTAAATGCTGAGCAATTCCGACTTGTCCACCCACATGAACATTCGTGCCTAATGTTGTACTACCAGCAATTCCACATTGTGCAGCAATGGCACAACCTCTCCCAAGCTGAACATTGTGACCAATTTGAATCTTTATCGTACAATTTCATATTAGATATGACCAGAAAAGAAAAAAATATATAAACTTTCACTGACCAAATTATCAAGTTTACAACCTGTACCAATCACTGTATTACGCCAACTCCCACGATCAATGGTACAATTAGCTCTAGAGAAATATTACATGAGTTCATAAGATTTCTAAAAGGAAAAGAATCATACGCACCCAATCTCGACGTTATTATGAATCTCAACTTGAAATTCTTGAGCTTTTTTCACGTGAAAACCATTAGTATCGAGCAGAAATCCAAAACCATCTTGACCGATTCGAACTCCAGGATGTATCATAACATTTGTACCGATAGTACAATTTTCCAGTGTCACATTACTACTGATAAATGTATTGTTTCCAATAACTACATCTTTCCCAATAGTACTAAATGCACCAATGTTGCATCCAGTACCGATCTAATACAAGAAATACGGGAGAGTCATACAAATTAAAAATACTAATTTCAAACTTTCTTCTCACCTGAGCGGATGGATGGATGAATGTGTTAATAGACGCTTTATACTGTATCTTAGCATCTGTACACGCTCGCCTACATTGCGAAAAAGACACCGTTCGTTTGCTACGAACAACGACGTACAGACATCTCGAGGGTGTATACATTTGATACTGATTTAGTGCACACTCGTAAATAACAATAATACTATCGATGATATAAAATATGGTTTATGGCTAGTTTTAAAACTTTCTATTTCGACCAATGAAATACCTGATACGCTTCTTTATTCGTCATCGAGTACGCTGATTAGTCATTTCTCCTTGTATTCGAGACGAAAGCTGTGTAGCGGACATGTACTGGCATATAATCTTTGTGGTCTTGAAAGCAGACGTACGACTCACACATAACAGTTCAGACAAAGATGAATTGTCTGCTTCACTGCGGGTAAGACCCGCGTGCTTAGATTTTTTAATGATTACACTGTGAAAGTCGTTGATCTTCTTCTATGATAAACGAAGGACTCGATCAATGGTGGGAATATTACCTACTAATTTTAGTGGACGGTAATATCCGCCGATCAACCTGAGAATGCTGGACAATTTGCATACAAGATGCACTCTTTCAGGCTGTTTTGCAGCACATTCTTCCTAGAAAGTGGCATTTTCACCTAAGCGTACACAAAATACCACTCGCCGTTGGTCTTTGTCACACAAAAAAATGACGCCATGTAAACGAGCGTGACTTTTCCAAAAACATCTTGTGCTTTGAACGTATTAGAAGTTCGATGCATCGTCAAATTTCCTAAGCTTGATCCATTGGCGTGTTACGCAATATTTTGTTTCGGAAATCGGGTTGATCTTATGACTCCTACAATGTGTGCAGTATTCATGAAGAAAGCTGTGTCACCACGTCGTGGTATTCCTTTAAGAAAAAAAGGAATTCGACTCCTGAAGATATGAGTTCGCCCCAGGCATCCAGTGATGTTTGGATGTGACTAGATCATGACGGACGATACCAAACTCCCCCAGTACTATCTGTATCAATTATGTATCATATTGTCTTGCAATGCCTCACACAAATTGGATTCGGCAAGAGCTTTTCCCAGGGTGCAAACTAGAGACAAAATATTTCCTCACTTCTCTTCATCAGCGAGTACATAAATATATCTATATTTGATGGGAAAGGTTCAACCATTTGACCTAGCTGTATCTGCACACATATTGATAATGGGGCATGTTGAGTTACATTCGAGACTGGTCATATATTTGCGATTTCCAATTATCATCTTCGGCGAAGTGTGCAGCATACAGCTGTTTTTTCTGATCACAACGGGAGTAGCTTCTGGACCCCAGCTCGGAAACTTTTAAATTTCCCTACTTCTTTTTTTCTCGGAAACCGCGAAAAATATTTGCTCTTGCCTTCCGATGTTAGCAAAAGAATCGTAGTTATATTGATAATTGTTGATTTGTAGATAGCATATACCCGTAATTCATGCCTATTTTAAAAACTTCTAAGAGACAATTTTGTTGGCGTCAAGATCACACTTGTCTGTGTTGACAAACATCTTGTTTAAGCCAAACACTCGCAAAATTTTACTAACATTCGTATCCACATGTCCGCTGCACGACTGTGAGAGTTGATTGTCGAAAATGGGTTGTGCAAACTTTGGATGCGGTTAGAACAGCTGATTGAACGTCTTTAAACTTTAGACGGTTTTAGGGGCATCTTACAGAGTGTATTCCCAATATATTTCCGACTATTACGCACATCAATAGAAACCAATATATATGCCAAAGTCACTGGCCATGCTGTTAAAGCGCATTCATTCTAAAAATCAGCGTTTTCTCAAAAGGGGTGGCTGGATTAAGATATTGCAAGCATTACTATTCGACACGTGCCGATATTCATCATGACGCAGGATGTCGGCTTGGGGTGAAAAGAACTCTTCGCTCTCATCAGGACAATCTCGTGCTTTTATCGACAAAATTGTATATGACTTACACCGGTCCATTGATATCACTGAGGCAACATTTATATTCCGGGGTTCATGTACCCTGGCATATATAGATGGATCGCACAAGTTGGTGTGACCACACACTGGAGTGGCTACACCTTAACAAGAAAGCTACTATGTGGCGGGATTGCCAGTATTTATGAATTTAAAAAGGTTTTACTGTTTAGTTGGGAAACCTATAGGTTTAGATAAAGGCGGCCTGCCACAGATATAATGAAAGAAATACTGTTTGATTTTTGAATACAAGAGTGTAATTGCCTTTGGCCAAGGTTTTGGGTACCAGCGGATCGCGATCCGCTACACTCATACTGGTTCTAGTATTAATTGAAAGATAGGTGACCTTTGCTTAGCTTTCCCTAAGGATAGCTATGGCAGCCTCGCTGCACTTGGTAGCCCGAGTAGTCAATTTACACCTGATTCGTTACGACGGATCCTCTGTGAGGATGGAGCAGCTATTCTAAGAGCCCCAGGGCATGCAGGACGTGCTTAAAAATGATATCACTGCTTGGCCCTGAAGGCGTGCAGCACCTTGCTTTGCAAGGACCTGAAGCGATTTGCGCGCACCTTTAGACGTTTTCGAGTTACAAAAAATGCTCTGCAAGAGCAACTACAGCAGAAGATGTCGACGTCGACTGCGTCCATGACGCCACCGTCGGCGACGGATGACTCTTCCCGACCCAGGTTGCTCATGTTGAACGTTATACATTAAAGGGTAATGATGGAAATAAACTTTTGCCCTGGGTAAGAGAGGCCAAGAAGGCTATGGCATCCGCCGTGCTCTATAACGAGCATAAGTACGTGGCGCTAGCCATCTTTCAGCTCGAGTGCCGAACGTCCAAGAGTTGCGAAGTATTGTTGCCGGGATGATCTTCGCCCCGAGGCGGTCGTAATGACCGCATTTATGGAGGGCCTCCGCACTGGCGTGGTCAGAATGGAATTTTTCGGAGTGCACCCGTCTTCTTTTAGAGAAGAAGCCCATGTGACATTTAATGCCGAATTCAAGTTTATGTCGGCACGACTTGGTTGAGATGCGCACTCTAGCAGCTCGTAGAACGAATCTAGCCGATAGATCTCGGCTGTGTTGAGATCTTTCTTGTCTGTGGAGACACCCGTCGCCGTCGGACTGGTTTTCCCCTGCGCAAGGCACGTCAAGGTTGAAATCGAATCGACGCCTCGCTTCTAACCAGTCTGGTTATCGCGGGGAAATGACAACACCCAGAAGGCTCGATACCACCTACTAAGGAAGAAGAACTGATTTCTGTTGAGTCTCAAAGGGGGAGAGGGCAGCAAAGCTCAGCTCCGAAGAGCTCCGTACGAAACGTGTATGCCAGCTGGCTTGCTGGTCGTGGAGCGACCGAGATGGAATTTGAGAAGCCATGGAAGATCCTGATCGACTCCGGGGTGTCGGGCAATTATGCTCGACGCTTCGCGATCGAAAGAACACAGCTGTATGCTGAGGCACTGAAAGTGTAGCTGAGTACCACCGTCACTGTTTGATTTTCGATGGTGACTTGCGTCCCAGTGCCGATGGTTCCTGAAGACCTCGGTGTCAAGCTTCTTGACTGACCATATCCTTCGTATGTCATGGTTGATATACCATGAGCCATGAATTGTTTCAAGATCGAAGACCTTGGGCGCCTGGTGGAGCTTTGGTGAGTCATGAGCCCACCTCTGCTAGAAAGCAAAAGCGCCATTGGCGCTGGCACTGGATCGGGACGGTCAACGTGCTGGCGATCGAAGTATTCTCGTTGTCGAACACTAAAGATGTATCGGGCAGGAGTCCCGAGCGTGGAGTGGCACGCAATCCGCTGAGCGCTTCTCAAGTATCGGAGCAGTCGCTGCATGCCATACGTGGTATGGTCGGACGAGATCTGAGACTTCGTGGGCGAGACCCCGGTGATGTACATGGAGTGGCAGTTATCCACTGGGCGAAGACTGTGATACTATAGCTCTTCGTCGAATGTTGTGAATAACATCAAGGCTCCGGTGGAGCATGGAGTGGGGACACTGGACGACGCTAAACGCGTGTTCACACTGGTCTCGTCGAAACATGAAACCTTTGTGGGACGGCAACGGAAACGCCGTATTTTATCTGCAAAATGCGGGGCGTCGACCCTAACCCAGGGTGCAGCGGGGCTACCGTAGCTCTTTGCTTAGAGAAAATGAGGCTAAGATCACCGACCTTACGTTTTATACAAGAACCAGTACGAGTGTAGCGGATCGCAATCCGCTACCTCCAAGAGTATTTAAAAACCTTAACCAAGGCAAAGACGCTCTTCCGTTCAGAATTGAAAACTGTATCTAATTGTTTTATTTGCGGCAGAGCTGCCTATATCTAAAACCTTAGCTTTTTTCAAATTAAATAGCGAAATCTTATTAATAACTACTGGCAGTCCTTCCACGTAGTGGTTTCTTGTTGCGGTGTAGCCACTCCAGTGTGTGAGGGGTATGCGATATGAGCATGCTGCTCAGCGGAGCCCTGATGGCGACGGACCCCGTCATCAAGAGCTCGAAGAGCATCGCGAGTCACCTGACCCCACTACCTCTTCTCGACGAGAATGGTGGCGTCCACTATCATGTGTAACGCCTTGTGGGTCGACATCGTCGACAGGGTCAAACCCATTATCTTGTGAATTGGCGGGGATACCCAAACTCTTAGAGGTCGTGAAAATTGAGGTGCCGCTTCGGCAAGACTGCCCAGACGTCGTGGACGCTTATGCTCATGTTGCTCCGCGTCGTCATGCGCACCGTACTTCTCTGCAGTAGCCAAAGAAATTGAAGGGCCATGACCTGAGCTCAAGCTATGGCCCTGAGCTGCTGTTGTCGTAGAATCACCCCACAAAGCTCGCGGGAGCGTGATGGATCAATCCATACGTCGCAGGGCGACAATAAACAGGAAGTTGACGTTTCGCCTTGACTATGGCAAACTCGAACCGAAGATGGCGTTCTACGTGCACGTCCACCGCCTTGTGGCTTTGCTGTAAGTTAGACAGCGATGAAAGTTTCAATGCCGCTGCACCCATGGCTCAAAGAACTCTTTGCCATCTGCAGCGGATGCGTACCTCCGGAATCGTCCACATTTGCAGAGCGCCTTCTCTTTCATCGCATAGTCGAGCGCAGTACCTAACCATTGGAATTTCTTCAGGTGCCAAGAAGCGAGCTCGGAGAGCTTATCGTTGGTCACGATCAGCTTGTGTAGTAGCCGGAAGGCAGACTACGTAGTCGCCCAACGTCGAGTGATCGCTTCAGTAGCGGGATCCGCCGAGCAGAAGCCGTATTCCACACGAGGGTCTAGAGCCGACGGTGGACGCGAGAGCATGAGAGCCGCTTCGTGAGCAGCCTCCGACCGCTGCTCCTGTACCTCGTTGAGGTATTTATAAATGATATCTCTTCCCTCGGAAGGCGAGAGGTCAGGAGACGGACACGGTGTCCGCAAGCTTCGAGCAGGGCTCATGTCACGCCGTTGGCGCACCTGATCCTTCTCTTTTTCCCATCCTGGACAAGGAGTATTCGACTAGTAATCGACTTTTCCGAATCCTCAACGAAGAAATCTGTCGCCCGTGGCGGGTGTGGTGTGTGTGTCGCCCGGTTACCGAGGGCATAGGATGTGCTTCCCGTGAAGCCGCGGACGTACTGTCCGGAGTTGCACCGCGTGCAAGAGACAAAGAAGGGCTCTGCCCGCGGGCGCTCTCGGAGCTAGCGAGGCTGGGCGTTTTATGTGACATGCACTTAGGACTCTTGGGACAGGAAATGCGTGAAAATGGTCCTGAGGACGTAAAGGTGTCTAAGACATGGGAGCCTTGTTAGATGCGACAGTTAAATGCGAATTGTGGGAACTCACAATTTTGGTGAGGAGAGTGTAACTGGGTTACACGTACCCGGTATGAAGAGGAGGGTGGGTCACACAAGATGGCGTGATCACTCAATGGTAGGACTGCCAGTATTGCTGTATTTTAATTAGGTTTACTATATAATTAAAAAAAACCTATACATTTAGATTTAGGCGGCTCTACCGCAGATAAATGAAGAAAAGACAGTTTGCGTTTTGAACGGAGAGTGTATTTGCCTCGGGTTAAGGTTTTGGGTACTAGCGGAATGCGATTCGCTACACTCATACTGGCTTAATCTTGGGCGTAAGGTCGGTGACCTTAGCTTAGCTTCCGTTAAGCAAAGAGATATGGCAGCCTCGCTGCGATTTACTTCCAGGAACTCGATCAATTCTGCGACGCTCCGTCGACCCGAGGGCAACGCGCTTGGTAACAAAAAGTTATAGAATTCAAAGGGTCCTCGGTTGTAGCCGACGGACTCTTTGCTATCAGTGTTTCATCACTTTTTATAATGACAGACTTGTTCATGACGGATGACGAGCTAGCTTGGTTACTCTACCGTCTTGCAAGATTTTGCGATCCTATTCAATTGATAGTTTTCAAGCTCAGTGAGAGCGCTTCACGTGATATTGAGGTGATACTTGCATAATCTTCAAATTGTTTCAGTTTAAATGTGCGCACGAGATTACTTGTCGCAATCCCATGAGCCTCACTGATTCACTCGGCAGGAGCGTAATAGAACTGTGCTGCATCAGCAAAATAGGTACATCATGACAAGATTGGAACACAAACGATTATCTTGTAGCATAACCCTACTATCAAGGTCTATAAGTCAACTGTCTCAACTCA